CAAAGACACAACCAATTTCACATTAATTGAAATAAAAACTTTAAACCAAAAATTTAAATTAACAAATATATACTACGTGTCTGCGTGTTCAAGATTAAACAAACACACAAATTGTAGTAGGTACTGCCTCGTAGAGCTATTTGCTTCCCTGTTTTCATTTAGGTAGGGCCCCAAAACGAGTTCATCTGGCATGGCATTCGCCTTCTCAGTTTGTTTTACAATAACCAGAAAAGGCTGTAACTTCTTGGTAGTGAGATGAGTGAACAATTAACAACATAACTTATTCTGGTTTACATTTTTAAGAGCCATTCCAATTCATGTTAAAAATATTGTTGAGTGGCCGAAACCGGTTTGGCTCAGTGGATAGAGCGTCAGCCTGCGGACTGAAGGGTCCCAGGTTCGATTCCGGTCAAGGGCATGTACCTGGGTTGTGGGCACATCCCCAGTGGGAGATGTGCAGGAGGCAGCTGATCGATGTTTCTCTCTCATCGATGTTTCTAACTCTCTATCTCTCTCCCTTCCTCTCTGTAAAAAATCAATAAAATATATTAAAAAAAAAAATATTGCTGAGTGTTTAGAAAATTTTAGGAGTAATTCTTTCAAAAGTAATTTTTCTATGTCTGCCCCTATATGGTAATCCTTTGCCGTATGGTAACACTAGTGAAGTTCCATTTCAGAAAAACCTCTGAGCATATAGCACATTTTTGAGTGTTCAAGAGCACTGCTACTTTGGGTGGTGGGTACACGGCACAATATACAGATCTTATAACATAGAAACCCACACCTGAAACCTATATGTTGATGTTGACCAATGTCACCCCAATAAATTTAATTTTTAAAAAAAAAGAAAGAAAGAAAAAGAGCACTGCTGATGCTTAAAGAAGTCACGGAGTGGGTGGAGCTGACAGATGACAACTGGACTCGCAGATACGGGAGCTGACTAACCCAGCAGTGACCTTACATTCATGTGGCAGTCTGAGATCAGAAGAACATTGAGTAATTTGAGAATGTTCAGCATGAATAAACACTATGATAAACCTACTCTGATGATTCAGTGATATACCACAGACTAGGTTATTTAGGACCCAAGTTTGACTTTATGAACTGTATGCTTTAAATTAACTGTTTATCTTAAAGGTTATGATGTCGCTGTATGGAAAGAGTAGGCATTGTTATTCTGATCATGCTGCTTTACTAGGTTTGTGATTTTTACCTCTTGCATCTTTTCCAGAGATTTTTTTTACTGTGGCAGGAGTAAAACAGGACGGCCAGTGTGTGCTTCCGTGGGGATTAGAACAGGTCGTCTGCATAGAGCGGAGGGGAAGTGGAAATAGGACAACACAGAAAATAAAAGCCAAACTTATTTAATCGTTGGCCAGTGTCTTGATTTTTTATGGGTCTTTGGTTAAAAAGACTACCTACCCTCTCTGGAATTCATACAGTTTGATTACTGATATTACAGTTTCTGATTTTAGATCAGCCAACAAGAATTTATATGCATTTCTTTTGCCTCAGTCCGTCAGTCCATCTGCCCAGTCATTCAGCGAGCCAGCAAACATTGACCGAGGCCCAGTAAATCCAAGCTAAACATTGGCCAATGCTTGATTATAGAAGCAAAACATAGTTACTGTTTTTAAAGAACACAGAGTCCACGGAGGTTAGGTATTTCCTTTCTTCCCCAGGACTTAAGGTGATAGTGTAAGGCGGGAGGTAGTATAAGCAGATGCTGAATGGTGGTAATTCTTTCATAAGGCACATTGGTCTCTCTTTTTTGGTTATTTGAAACAATTCATGGGGAAGAGAGAGGTGTCGCCCTCATCATCCTCACATCCCAGGTTGTGTCTGATGTCACGTTGAGCTCACTGCACCACGCTCTGAGCAGTGTGCATGCTTTTCCAGGCCATGGCTCACATAGAAAATGGTAATGTTTTCATGCCCCACCAAGGTCAATGGACAAGGCAACTTTTAGCCAGATACCACCTCTGGGGTCCTGCACCCCTGCCTTTTATGGCTTCCAGAAGGTGGAAGAGAAACAGTGACTCCACACACCTGTGGCACCTTTGCAGCATCCAGTACACTGTCAGGTTCATCACAACCTGTGCACTCGGCACTCCCCGGGCTGTGCCTCCTTTGCTGAACCAGGGCCCCACTAATTTTATTTTCTCATGAATAGTTTGGGCATGTTAATTATAGGGCTACAGGACATGTTTAGTAACACAATGTATAGAGTTTACAGAATTCAAAAGAAAATTATTGGAGGTATAAAGTACTACAGGTTGGAGACAGCTTTTTATAATGAAACTAGGTGGCTCAGGAATCAGTAGGCCTAGACTTCTGAATTCTCCCTGGACCTCAATTTCCTTATCCTTAAAATGAGAGGATGGAACGAGGTGAAGGTTAAGCCACCCTCTAGCTCAGGGGTGGGCAAACTTTTTGACTCAAGGGCCACAATGGGTTCTTAAACTGGACCGGAGGGCCGGAACAAAAGCATGGATGGAGTGTTTGTGTGAACTAATATAAATTCAAACTAAACATCATTACATAAAAGGGTACAGTCTTTTTTTTTTTTTTTTTTTTTTTTTTTTAGTTTTATTCATTTCAAACGGGCCGGATCCGGCCTGCGGGCCGTAGTTTGCCCATGGCTGCATCTAGCTCTAACATGCCATCATTTTGTATGCCTATAAATCTTTGCTGTTGAGTCAACTGCTTTGCACTGTTTGCTGTGTGCTAGGCATTTAGTGAATGGTTCCATGCATGCCTGAGGGCCAGCTTCATGGCACTCCCGAGATCTAAGGTTACTGCTTAGGTGACAGAGGAATCAAAATCAAACTAAGATGCTGAATGAAGAAAAGAGAACAGACACTGAAGACAGTGTCGAGAAGGAATGAAGCTAGCTGTAATCGTTGAAAGGCTTTTAGTGTCTCTTAAATATAGTCAGATGATAGGCTTCGCGGCTCAGAATCTTCCAGCTGGCTACACACCTCAATTATAGCTGGCAGCCTGGCAGCCTTAACCTCTTAGGATAAGTACTCCCAACTCCCATTTCTAAAATGCTTACTGCTGGGACATCAGTGACCTAAGCATAGATGTAAAAGTCAAATCTTGATTATTCAACTTGGTGGAAGAAAATTTCATCTTAAGAATCCCATTCGGAACTTTGTCTTTTTCGTGCTTATCTAAGCCCTTTCTGTCCAGCATGTGTTGGGTGGATGGGGCTGCCTCGCTGGAAAGTAACAAAGAAGACAAATAGTAATGCTAGACAATCACTATTTAAAAGACTGGCCGCGTTATGGTGATAGCTATTTTCCCTGATTCAGACTAAAATGGTAGCACTTGTTCATTTGTGAATGTTTGTTTATTTACCATGTCAGATATTTTCTAGAAATTCAAACCTGAGAAGTTCCTGCTATAGTGAAACTCAGACAAACAGACAGACATGATAGAGTATTATCAGTCTTAGAAGTTTTAATAAGCACAATAGTAATTGATTTATGTTCAAAACACAAAAATTATCCCATCCTTACTTCCTGTTCCCCAGTAGCAAAAAATGTTGTTTCAGTTACATTTAAAAAGAACAAAACTAAGTCATGCATTCACATATCAAAAAATACTTCTAAGTACATAAAATTCACAAAGTATTGTACCCTTAAGGACCATGATGTTTCGTATCCACACACAAGGATGCATACAACACACACACACACACACACACACACACACACACACGTAATATTTACTTGATGTGCTCAGAAAGGATACTTGAACTATAGAGTAAATAAACAAAAGTCTTGGTTTGTGTCAGTGCATATATGTGTTTGTATGTGTGTGGGAGATTAGAAAGGAAAAAAAAGAGACGGAGGGAGGGAAGGAAGAGAAAGAAGGGAAAATGTACTCAGTGGTCTTAGAAGGAACCACAGTAGTTAGTAAATGTTAACTTGCCTCCCACCACCCCGTCTATATCTTTTCTGTATTGAGCTGAAACTAGTGTACCATTGCTCATCCCATCAACTGATATATCATTGGAGTTAAGTTGATCACTCCCCCCAATCAAATGAAATGAAAAACAGAATAATTTTAGTTTAAAAAATATAAAAATATCCACAGACATTGTAAGTGGTACTTATGTACTCCAACAACTATGATAAAGAAAACTTGCTGAAAGTCCTTCCAAAGCAGAAAAAAATTAAAATCTCAGGGAATTTTTTTTCTTTACTGGCCAGAAATTCATTCCAAGAAGTACCAGCCTGTCTCATTTCAAAATGCTTCCCTTGCCAAGGAAGCGGAAGCGGTCATATTCTTTCCCACCAAACTGTGGGTGAATTATAATTATCCTACCTCGTGTGGGACAATGAAGCAGCAAACATCTGCTCTACTGAATCAGAAACCCACGAGTGAAGCTATACCAAACTGTGAGTCATACCTGGACTCAGATGAAAGGATTTGTGTTGTGTTTACCTTTTTCTTTATTTTCTTTGCAATTTAAAATATGGATTTGTTAGCTCTGGCTCCATGTTCTAACTGAAGGGAAATCTATGGATCCCATTTGTTGACTCCTATTTAATATTTAAAAATCCCAGCTTTAGGGCAGATGGACCGTAATCATTAATAACAATTTTCCTATGTGACTGGTTATTGTCTTCTCACAGTTTTCTTTCTTTTCTTTCTTTCTTTTTTTTTTTTTTTAATTAAAGGATGGGACAGTTTAGAAAAGTTAGAAGCGCACAATCTGAGAAGTGAGGTCCTTTGGTTTCTTCTTCCACTATAATGACAATAACAGAGGAGTGGAAAATGGTATTTTAAACTTTATTTCCAAAAGAAACAAGCTTCAAAACGGTTACTTTTAATTTTATGTGTCATGGTATTTTGGGTAGTGCTAATCTATTCGCCAAGAGTAAGGCAAGGAACATGGAACTTCAGTTCTAAGTTTTAGCTGTGAAAACATATACAATAGTCTAGTTGCTTTCAAAGTGTTTTTGTGCTTTTTTATTTTTGTCTATTAGAGAGCAGAAAGACAAACTCGAATTATGGATTCAGCCCAATATGCAGAATTCTGTGAAAGTCGACAATTGAGTTTCTGTAAGTAAGCCTTTAACTTTACTTCATTATATGTTTAAGAGAGTGTGTGTTACAGATATAGCAAAGTATGACACAATCTGTTCCTTGGAAATTGGTGAATTTAATATATGCATAGTTATAACTGCTACAGAAACAGCCTCTGCATTGTTGAGGAGCCTATAAAAGGTTTTACCCCACTCTACTGTTTTGCAATTAATAGTAGTAAGAGATTTTAAAGGGTCTGAGTAATACACAGAGAGCTATGTTAATTATTCACATAGGTTTTAGTCAGAAAAATTCCTTTGTCTTAATATTCCCATTTTCATTTCAGTTCCTTAGTCATATTTACTCTAGTATTGCTGATTGTACTTGATCCATAATGGACTCCCTTGGTACAGTCATGACCTTTAAAAGCCCTTTATACATATTAATAGATACCAAATTTTCCATTTATTTACACATACTCATATTGCCACAGGACAGACCAATGAACTGTTAGCCAAATTCTTTATTCGTGCTCTTGTAATACTGACCTGGTGGTAAATTAGTGCTGTCCTGACAATGCACCCAGGCTTACTACAAGCACATTAAGGCTCGTGATAAATAGGGGGCTCAATTGTGTAGCAAAACATCCTCCCAGCAACCGTTCAGTGATGACTAAGACTCTTGGGGTAAAGGTCAAAGAGTAAGTGTGATGAAAAGTCCAGTTAAAAATCTGACAAAGTAGCACATGACCCTGGTTTGAGGGATTATACACACAATGGTGTCTTTAAACAAAGACCTACTGTGTGGTCACAATAACAACGTGTTTGATTTGGAAAAAGAAAATGAGAGCTTCATTTATAGATCATAAAGTGCAAATAAATGACACATTTCAAATAGTGCCGCATGTAAATGTCAGTAAAATATAGGAAAACATGTTTTGGAAGATTTTTCTCCTAACTAAATATACTTTGCAGTCTGACTAACAATTTGGCATCATACATCTGTGAAGCATTAAGTAAATGACACTTCAGATCATGGCAATTTCAGCAAATGAAAGGTTTTTGTATTGTAATTTTTAGGTTTAAAAATGGCATTCAAGTCTTTTATAAGTATAAATTTCCAGTTTATAAAGTAACATTTAGTGCTATTGAACTATTTTTTAAAATCATATTTTAAATTTAACTCACTTAAAGAAACAGAAGTGCTATTTTCACATTAAAACATATAGTCATTGAAGTGTTCTAATACACCTTTTATTTGATAATTAGAGTTTTAATAACTCCATTTTCTTGTTTGTAGCTCAATAATAAACTGTATCAGATTAAAAGTTAATATTTTTCCTTTCTTTACAAAATAATTATAGTATAAACATTATATTATGCTTATTTTTTTTTAATTTAAATAAGAGAGACTAGGGCCTTTAAAAATGTTTCTTTATATGTTACCCATGGGTGCTTCATTATGAAACCTTAGTGGGAGAATCTGTTTTATATGCCAAAGTGCTGTGGTTGGGAATGCTGAATCCAAGGGGGCCAGCAAATTCAGAGCTGATACCCACACTGGTCAGACTGTTGGGCTCTCTTCCTTCCTTCCCTTCTGATAAACTACTGAGATATAGGAACTGTGATAGATAGGTCCTCTTAAGCAGTTGGTCATAGCATTCATGAATTGGGACTACTGGTGTGTTTTATCTTTTTTTCTCTCTGTAAAAAAAAATTGTAATTGATGTTAGAGAGAGGAAGGGAAAGAAGGGCAAGGAGGGAAAGTGAGAGAGACAGAGAGAAAGAGAGGGAGAGAGAGAGAGAGAGAGAGAGAGAGAGAGAGATTGATGTGAGAGAGAAACATAAATCTGTTGCCTGTTGCCTGCAACACAGGTATGAGTCCTGACCGGGAATCAAACCTGCCACATTCTGGTGTACAGGACAGTGCTGCAGCCAACTGAGCCACACCGGCCAGGGCTACTGATGCATTTTAAGGTAACAAGTCTAGAACTTTATAGGCTGAGGTTAAGTTGTAGAATTGGGATACTGGTCAAATTCACTAGTCTTTTGTTTTATATTTATACTAGAGGCCCAGTGCACGAAATTCGTGCGGGGGGGGGGGTCCCCTCAGTGTGGCCTGTGCCCTCTCACAGTCTGGGAGCCCCGGGGGGATGTCCAACTGACGGCTTAGTGAGCCTAAGCCGTCAGTTGGACATCTTAGCATTGCCACAGAGGCGGGAGAGGCTCCCACCACTGCTGCTGTGCTCGCCAGCTGTGAGCCTGGCTTCTGGCTGAGCGGCTCTCCCGCTGTGGGAGCGCACTGACCAGCAGAGGGCAGCTCCTGCGTTGAGTGTCTGCCCCCTGGTTGTCAGCGCACAGCATAGTGACCGGTCATTCCACCATTCAGTCATTTACATATTAGCCTTTCATTATATAGGATACGCTGTAGATGAGGCCCCTTCGAACCATAAGAAATGCAAAAAATTCACTGTTAACTCATTCTGGAATTGTCCCCCACTTAAAATCAAATTGCCACCCTCCAGCCCGCCCCCCCCACCCCCCGGCCCGTGGGGCATGTGCTGCACCTTGGGAACCACTGTGCTTGACACTTTTCCTCTCTGAGCTTCATTTCTGCATACGCATATACCATGGGAATTGTAATCTCTTCTCCGCCTACCTCATTGGGTTGTCATGAGGAGGTTCTGAGCTAATAAACCTAGAAATGTTTCATCAAGTAAGTGATGTCTAAACGGGAAGGGATTGTTATTTTTAAGCCCACGGGTACCCTCGCAGGTAGCAGGTGCTGATTAGGGGAGGAGGGCATGATTGTTTCCTGGGACTGTAGCTATGGAAGCTTTGCAGATGGTTCCACAGGCCTCAGAGGGGCGGGCTCTGGCCAGCAGCCCTGTAGTGGTGGTCATCCCTGGAGGTGCTGGCTAGGGGAAGGGGGGAGTGCTAGGGGGGTGCTAGGGGGGTGGCAAGGCTGAAAGGGGAGTAACTGTCAAACCTCCCCACTTGACACCATTCTTTAAATTGTACATGGCCTTTTCACAGCTGTGTGTGCTCAGGGCGGGGCTCCAATCTCTTGGAGCAGGGCAGGGGCTGGGCCAGGGTGGGCCAGGTGGGCTAGGAGGGCGGATTTAGCCGCACCCCCGGCAAGGTTCAGTGCACTTCTGCTGCGGAGACAGCGCCACTGTTGTCAGGGAGGGGGGGTTTTGGGGGGGATGAGTCTGACCCTGAGGGGCCGCTTAGGCCTGCCTCTACCTGTGTCTGGAGTTGTAGGGAGGAGAGGCGTGCCTGGCCCCAGCAGAGGGGGCCCAGCAGCGGCAGGCCACAGGCCTCGGGTGCCTCGGGGCCCTGACGGGTTGTCGCAGGCGTGCTATTATTGTGGGTGCCCCTGGTAGGGGTGGCAGGGGAAGAGATTGGGAGTCAGAGATATGGGCTGCAGCTACCCCAAGGCTGGGTCTTGTCCTTGTCTGGTCAGCCTCCCCGTCCCCCCGGGGGTGCGGCGGCTGCAGTAGCGTGTCCGTGCAGGGGGATTGGAAGACCTCCCCGTGGCCACTTTCTCTTCCTTTTTAGCAGTCCAGGCTCCTGTCAAGCACACTCCTCAGACCCCTGGGAACTTGACTCCAGCTGCCCTGCCCCTCCATGGCTCCCTGCAGCCCCTGCCCCACTCAGCTCTCCCGGCCACCCTCCTGTCAGGAGGCTGCCAGGATGCCCTGCTGTGGGGCCACCGGGGAGTATGTGCTAAGCCTTAGCTAAGCCCCCGGCCTGCCGCGCGCGCAGCGGGCGGGCCCCCCTCTTTGCTCTTCTCTCGCCACGCTGGCCTTCGCTCGCTGCTCCTGCCTGGGGCCAGCTGGCTTCGCTCCTTCCCTTGGCACCTATGTATGCAAATTAACCGCCATCTTTGTTGGCAGTTAATTTGCATATCGCCCGGATTAGCCAATGGGAAGCGTAGCGGAGTTATGGTTAATTACCCTTTTTCTGTTTTATTAGATAGGATGTCAATAGTTGTTTCCCTTAGTCTTTTAGAGTCTGATATTAATTTTAATTAAAAAGCTTTAATTCAGTTATAATTTTATAAATCTTTTTCCAATCCCTTCCTTTCAACCTTTTGTTTAATTTGTGGATTTTATAAACAAATATCTAGGCTTTCTTTTTAGTCAATCTAAGGGTCTCTTTGTATTTTAATTGTTGAATTTAATTTAGATGTAATTATAATCCGGGTTTATATATGCTGTCTTGTTTTGTCTTTTAAATTTACTGTGCTTTTTAATTTACTTTTCTTCCTTTTCTTTGTTCTATTGGACCAATTGAGTTTTCTTCATTCCATTTTCCTTAACCAATTTGGATATTATGTATCCTATTCGATTATTTTAGTTGTCACCTTTAATATTTTAGTATACATCCCTGAGTTAAATTTTTTAAAGTTGATAAGTATGTAAACTTGCCTTCTCAGCCTTGTTAAAGCACTCATTGTTGTCTTAAAATGGCTTTATTTTCCCTTCATATTTATTGATTTTTCTTAATTTTTTTGAGAGAGAGGAAAGAAGAGGGATAGAGAGACAGAAATATCGATGCAAGAAAAACATCTATCAGCTGACTCCTGCACGCCCCCTACTGGGGATCGAGCCTGCAACCCAGGCATGTGCCCTGACTGGGAATCGAATTGATGATCTCTTGGTTCGTAGGTTGATAGTCAGACACTGAGCCACACCAGCTGAGCTTTTCCTCATATTGAAATGATAGTTTAGCTGGGTAGAAAATTGTAGACTAGTAGTTATTTGTTAAAACATGATTCCATTGTCTTGTAGCTTATATTATTGGTAAGAATTCTATCTACTTGTTCTATATTTTCCCAGTGGGAGAAACTAAGAGAATGGAGATATATTACCTCCAGGCCCTCTGGTATATGGGGAAATGTAAAGGCTGGCAATCCACAGCTGACCAATGAATATTTATAGAAGGAAAGAAAGAAAGAACTTCTACTATAAAAGATTCCAGGGAAAACCATGCCTTCTAAGGAAGACTGTTCTCAAAGAACTAAAATTTTTATGTGAAATTAATATATATGGTTGTCTAGCATGGGCTGAAAACCCCAGGTAGTATGAGAAAGCTAAGAATCCTAAGAACTTTCAACCTTTCAGGATTCTATTTAAATTGTTGATCAGTGTCCAGGGTTGTCCTTTCTCCTCAGATATTGAGAAGAGGAGTGAAGGAGAAGGAACTCATCCATTCTGATGCCCCCTCACTTCTTGATGGAAACAAACTATCATGACTCAGAGCATGTGTGCCTCCTTTTCTAGAACCAACAATACCCTGAGAGGGTCCATCTCTGAGCAGTTTTGCTCTGGGTGACAGGGAGGGAATTAGCTCAGGGCATCTTCACCTGCTGCTGGAATAGCAGTTACCCAAGTGGGTGTATGGGACCCCTGTGGCTTTTTTAGATGTATAAAAAGGTTTGCAGCCTACCCTTCTATTGAAGAAATATCTTTCATTCATTTGTTTGTTTATTTTTTAATTAATTTCTCCTAGAAATATTTACTGTGAGTCTACTAATGCCAGGCACTGTTCTGGGTGCTGGGATATAATGGTGGACACATGATTCTTGTCCCTGTATTCTCAATGCTTAAAATCTAGAGAGAAAGTTCTAATGCTGTTGCTTAGGTGAACAGATCTGATGGAATACTAAGAACTATTCTTTCTCTCACTTTTAAAATGAATTTTTTAGAGCATAGTCACAAGATATCTGTCTCTGTGTTTTGAACAGTCTGTCAGAGGGAGAAATGAATAAGGTACATTTTATTGATCTTGCCAAATTGCTGCCTGTTAACGTTAACTTCAGAAGTATTCCACATATGTTAAACAAGTGTTTGTGAGCTATTGCAGCTTACTAGTTAGATGGAATGTTGCATGTCAGAAAGCATTTGGAAGATTGGTTACTTTAGGGAGATAGCTTTAAGGGGGATTACCATAATTCTGCCACAGTTGACAACTTTGGATATGCGCTTCGATAGCAGGACTTAAGGTCTTCTGTGATTTATTTAGGAAAAAACTCTTCTGTATGTGGAATCCATGAAGACTGTATCTGTGAGGATCAAAACATCATGCTTTGAGTTACTGTTAAGTGTTTTATAGACCTGTGGGACCAGATTAATCAAAAGAGTAATTGTTGGGGTTTTTTAAAGACGATTATGTTAAAGACATGATAAAGTCTTCATTATCAATCTTTTCCCTCTAGGTTAATAGTTAAATTAGTAATATCTAATGAAGGCTCTGTATCTAGACTCTGCTTAGCACTGTGGCACTTCAGAGAGATTTTATGGAAGGTTCCCTTTATTGTTAGATATACTGAGATACCGACCCATGGTGTTTGCCCAAAGAGAACTTATAATACGGTTTGAGAAACTATTAGCAGACAGGAAAGGATAGCTGATAAGTGTTCAGTAAATGACTAGAGTGGGGAACTTTATCTTTGGTCAGTATGGGCAGGATTCATATGAATAAAGAGTGATAGGAGGGTAATCCATGGAGGGAAAGGAACAGGGTTGAGCACAGAGAGAAGATTATACTCAAGGCCAGGAGACATTTTCATAGGGAATAATATAAAGGCAGGTTGGATTAGTCCAGATGGTTTTGAGAGTCGGGTTTAAGAATTTGGACATCTTTGTAACAAGGAAAATGTAACCACAGTATTAGATCGGGCCAGGTATCAGTTTATTCTATTTAATTCTAAATTCGCTACCTTAAGCCTATTCTAATAAGAGACACATGTTGAAAGGTATTATAAGTACAATTTCTGTACATTCCTTTTTTCATCACAGGTTTTTTTTTTTCTTGCAGGGTTTTTCCCCCCCACAATAATAAATTAAAGTTTTGGCAAGAAAGTAACTCTTCTGATTATTGTTGTAACATAAGCTATAGTCACTGTTAACTGAAAACTTTCTGACATATTGGGAAAAGTGCTAAACATTAAGTGGCTTTGTATACTATGTTATGTATCATGAATATAAAATAAAGGACCCAATGCATAAGAAACGTCTTGGGGCTAGAATATCTAGATTAATAAAACTTCAAAAGCATTGTATATTGTATGCATTATCTTTCATATGCAATTTTGAAGAGACATTTTTCACTTTGTGATAGTAATTTGCAATATTAAAACAGTTAAAGCCCTAGCTGGTTTGGCACAGTGGACATTGCATCGGTCTGAGGACCAAAGGGTCCTGGGTTCAATTCTGGTCAAGGGCACATACCTTTGTTGCAGGCTCCTCCCCAGCCCTGGAGAGAGCGGGTCGTGCGGGAGGCAACCAATCAATGTGTTTCTCTCACATCAATGTTTCTTTCTGTCTTTCCCTCTCTCTTTCACTGTCTCTAAAAAGTCAATAGAAAAATATTCTTGGGTGAGGATTAACAAAAAAACAAAGAAAAAAGCACTTTAAAAATTAAATTTTCTATACTTATTTTTGTTGTTGTTTTTACTAACTAGCTAAAAAAGCCTCCAAATTTCGAGACTGGTTGGACTGTAGCAGTATGGAGATAAAACCCAATGTTATCGCTATGGAAATTTTGGCATATTTAGCGTATGAAACTGTGGCACAGGTAAGAATTCTAATCTGTCATATCAGCCCTTACATGGCTGCTTTCTCCTTAGCCCTGTCCATGACTCCACCTGCTGCTCCACCAGGGATGAGAACACCCAGGAGTTCTGCTATGACAATCTTACCATTTTCGGAGATTTAGTTCAATTATGTTTCTTTGTTTCCTCAGCTCTGTTGGTGGTTAGGGTAAAAGTAACTATTTCTTGCAACTTTATTCTAACCAGAAATAAAACCCTACATAGTATTTCTCAATATTGAATTTCAAGCACACATCTGCCATGTTTAGAGATCATTTTTGATCTCCAAATACTTTTCTAAATATGTTCAATCTACTTGAATGGGTGCAAAAATCTGAGTTTAGACTCCATTCTCTAACATGGTCTTTAGACCACAAGCATTAGCATCTCCTTGGTTCTTGTTTAAAATGTAAATTCCTAGATGACACCCCAGAGCAGACCTACTGAATTAGAGTATGAGGGCTTTGTATAATTTCAGTAGTAAAAATATTCTCTGTAACGCAGCATATGCCTAAAGCCCAGAAATCTTTATTTTAAAATGATTGTCTAGTGATTATGAAATAAAGTTTGTGAACCACTCCACTGGAAGGTCAGCATATATCATTTCTGTCCATGGGAAGTCCGTATACCAGTCAATGAAAGCATGCGCTCATGTCCACAGTACAGACTTTTAGGCAGACAGTGTTCTCAGCGACATTTGGAATGGACTGCTTTTTGTTTGCCACTTCAGTGACACAGGTTATTGTTCCCAGTTACCTGACTTTGTTTTCATTGCTCCGATCTCCTAGTTGGTGGATCTGGCTCTACTTGTGAGGCAGGACATGGGAACCAAGGCAGGAGACCCGTTCGGCCACGCCATTTCGGCCGCCTTCATTCAGTATCACAGCTCTGCTGAGGTAAGTATCGAAAAATCTGTCTGGCACTTCTATGGATTTTTTCCTCATGTCCAATATTTATACAAATAGTTCTTTGGAAAAGGTTATGTTGGCATTTGTGGCCTTTACTCAAAGAATCTGAATTCAGTCAACATTCAAACAAATATTTATTGAGAACCTGCTATGTGCCTAATCCTAACATTCACTTAATACTATGAACTTTTTCCTTGTCTTATTTCACTTTCCTAGCCCTTCAATTAAAGAGAGATTGTTACAGGGCATTTCTCATTTCCATGGGAGATGAACCACTGGTTTTGGTAATTGAGTACCACTGAAAAAAGTTATTTATTTCTTTGTGCTTCACAGGTGAGAGGATTATTAGTCATATAATATTAATTCCTGACATTTATTGATAATTTTACATTCTAGTTATTGAACCATCTCTAAATATGGTTTATAGAAGCACAGCTCCATTTATCCTTTGGTGTAGATTGGCCCTATCCTGTGAGGATCACATCTCTTCTGATCCAGTTTCTCTTGCTGAGATCCCCACCTGTGGGGACTGCAGTCTTCGTGCCCACTTTAAGGCTTTGTATAACTTCAGTATAAAAAATATTCTCTGTAAAGCAGCCTGTGCCTAAAAACCAGAAATGTAGTATCATCCATTGAATGAATTTACTAATATTTGACCTTTTTTACTAGCAGTTTCATATATTTCAGTCTAAGAGCCATAGAGAAGGCAGCATGGAAGTTAGGTTAACATCTACATGTATAATTGTGAAATAAGCTGTAGATCAAGTTGGGTGAAACATATAACCTAAAAATGGATAAGCCCCTTTGATAATTTGATGAAAACTATAAACCCTTTCCTCATAAACACATTTGCAGATTTTGTATACAATTTCAGGGTATTCAAAGACCCTCTGAAACCATTCTATGGATCTAAGGGAGTCCCTAGGGACTCCAACTTTAAGTAACTCTGCTCTAGGTTACTTAGTAAGTCCATGACTATATATGTCTATTGAGCATATTATTACAGGCCAAAAATTTGACATATTTTTATGCTCCTTAAAGAATCATATTGGCTTGGAATCCAAGTAGGAATTAAAATGTTTACACCTATTAAAAATCCTTTTTTTCTTGGGAAAGGTCATACATCATTATCAGTCAGCATACTTTTAAAGTCCCTAAAGATTACCCGGTTGATTAAACACTGTTTGTTTATGTTACAAGCCCAAATTATGATGTCAAAGAACACCCTTTAAAAGGTCTTTGGTACATGTTCTCTTTATGAATATGCGTATAAGTATGCTTTTCATTAACATCACACAAATTTGTTGTAACATTTCTAATTGAAGAAATGTACAGTGAACACAACAAGCCTAGTTTTCTCTTAACACTCAAGGATTGCTTGCATGGCTAGGAAAGTTCTCTATTTCTCCCCTTTCTTGGTTCTCCAGGGTGGCCGAGCAGCCCTGGGCAGCTGCTCAGCAACCACAGCCGCTGTTCCCAGCTACCAGCAGTTAGAAAAATGGTCTATGTGTGCTGGGCTCCTGGGCTCTCTGGGAGGTGCAAGCAGGAGTTTCAGAAAGCATCCTGACTAAATATGTTAGTACAAGCCCCAAACTTTCCTCTTGCCCGCCAGACACGCATCCTCCTAGGTGACTGGTAGTCAAAATGAACATTCAGGTGGACTGGAAGTATTCAGAGGGCTGGTCACCTCACTAAACACAAAGAGAATGGCCACTCCAAAGTCAGAGTCTTACCCATCACCATTATAAATCAGCAACCAACATCAGGGCCAGCTTTAAGGACTTGACCTCTTTGGGTGCAAATGGGAACTCTGGAGACTGATATGATCTCTGTTCAGGGAGGTAAACAAACAAGGAAAGAAATGAGCAAACACACACAGTTCAAGATGGCATATACTAATTTCCAAATGTATGGTATAGACCAGTGATGGCGAACCTATGACACGCGTGTCAGAGGTGACACGTGAACTCATTTTTTTGTTTTATTTTTCTTTGTTAAATGGCATTTAAATATATAAAATAAATATCAAAAATATAAGTCTTTGTTTTACTATGGTTGCAATTATAAAAAATTTCTATATATGACATGGCACCAGAGTTTAGTTAGGGTTTTTCAAAATGCTGACACGCCGAGCTCAAAAGGTTCGCCATCACTGGTATAGACAGAGTGAAGGTAAAAATCACTTTAATTACAATCACAAAGACTTCAAAGAGGAAGCTGGGTGTTGAAGGAGAGATAGGACTTTGATGGGACAGTAAAAGTGGGGAGAATACTCGGCCTCAGAGGCAGCATCAGTATAATTGTACAAGGAAAAGAAAATCTCTGATTAAAATATTCAAGGGAAGGACTCATGGGGGAGGGGTAGTAGAAAGTCAGATTAGAAAATTAAGGCCTTAGACACTTAGTTATTAAGGAAGGAAGTGTTGAAGATTTCTTGGCTCAAATAGGAGTCTGAAGAAAATCCAAGTGGAGGTGCCACTTACGGTGGATTGGAATTGGAAACTTAAGGCATGAAGTTAATACAAAATGCATTTTATCTTAATGATTATCATTTCTTAAGCATTAAGTGTTATAAAGAACTGAGCTATTTCAGTTTGGGTTTCTCATATTAAATTAGCAAGTTTAATAGTAATTCATTCAAATTAATTTTCTAGATTTTTTTCTAGCGTATGGCTTATGCACAGGAAGCAATGGTTTTTAGGAGCTATCTTGTTTTTCCTAAGAACACTTATGCCAGATTAGCTTTATCCTTCCTGTTTGATAATGTTTCTAGGCATGCAGATCAAAGAAACCAATATCTGAATTTCAGCAAAACATTTTACAAAGTTTAGCGTAATTTTTTTTTTAAATTATAGGGAAGCGTAGGCGAGTAGATAGTATGGTTAGTATGTATGGTTGATAGGATGACAGGTTATTAATAACATATGTAAAAAAGAGACTTTTATTTGCCTATAAATTTCTTAGGAGCCGATATTATGATGTTACAGTAAGGAAGCTTGCTTTGTTTGGATTTAGTGTTTAGGCGCCATCTTATAGGGTGGAGGTTGACACACAGTGGAGGATGTCTAAGGAGAGTGGACAGGGAGTGAAGGAACCTGAAAACATGTACCAGTGGTTGAAGGAACCTGAGGTGTTTGACCTGTAGAAAAGGCTGTGAAGTATAATGATTTTTAAATATTTGAAGTACTTCTACATGGCAGAGAGAATAGACTTACAGTCATAGCCAATGAAACCAGATGGATATGAGGGGTTTCTGAAAGAAGGAAGGAATTAGATGTGGGAGGAGCCAGAGGTCTCTACAGTGACCCTGAGACACTGGGAGAGGGCTGGTCAACACTGATACAAAAAAGTGTCTGAAAGGTATCCAGTTTTGGGGGGAAAGTTTAGAGGTTCCTTTTGAAACATGTAAGTTTTAAACGCTAACAGAACTTCCAGGTAGAAATGTCTGTATCTGACAAAATCCACAGGAAGTTTAGAAGCTGTATCTGAGGACTCCTGATTATATTTAAGTGATTAGACAAATTATACATGAAGATATTTAGACACTTTAGGGGCAAGATGGAGGCACCATTCCTGTGAACTTGGTGATAAGTTGTGTTTGTATATTTGTAAGCTTCAACTAGTGTTAAGTTCATGAGATAATAAACAAAATCAAATGTTAGGAGAAGTCCTGGTCATTTGATTTCAAAGCCACATCTCTTTGGGCAGGGATCTTGCATGAAGTCCTACCCAGACTCCCCTGAGAATACACCTCCTCCTACACCAACAGCTCCATCCTCTGGACCACAGCATGCAGGGAAAGCCACAGCAGGATCCCTCGGGAATGGGAATGTTGGACAAGACTCAGCAAAAACCAGGCAAAGGAAAAGAAAAAAGGTCAGTGATTTTTTTTTCCTCTCTATCTATTTTTGAGAGAAAAGCCTTGTTGAGTCTTTTCAGAGATAGGGAAAATGTGCTGTTTGTCTCATAATTCAAATTTTCAGAAGCAGCCAATTTATACTTAATCATACTTAATGACTTCTACTCAAACTTGAACAGCTTTCTTCTGGATAAAGCAAGATATTAGAAATTTTAACATTTTATTTTAAAATTTTCAAACATACAAAAGTTGAAAGACTTGTAGAATGAATACCATATATCTGCCAGCTAGATTCTACAATTAATATTTTACTATATTTACTGTGTTAACTATATATTTACAATTACTATATCTATGCATCTGATTGTTCCTTTATCTATCCGTCAGTTCGATTTTTTTGATGCATTGCAAAGACAGCTGCAGACATCAATGCGCTTCATGCCTAAATGCTTCATTATGTATAATTTGTTTATGGTTCTTTTTTAAAGGTAAAACATATACACAGTGAACCACTCAGTTCTTAAATATGCCACTTGGTGAATTTTGACAAATATATAAGACTGTTGTTTTCTAGGCCCTTTCAAAGGTATAAAACAGTACCACCAGTTCAGAAAATGTTTTCATGCCTCCTGCCATCTTTCTCAAAAAGGGAATGACTGGTCTGATTGATTGTTTCCATCACAGATGAATTTTTTTCTGTTCTAACCTTCAGATAGTGTGTATACCTTTTGTGTGAAATTTATTTCACTCAGGATATCTTTGAAATTTATATTTTTCAGTAGAAGTATAATGTATTTCTCTTTATTGTTGAGTAATGTCCCCATGTATGAATATATCAGTCTACTCATTCTCATTTTGGTAAACATTTAGTCTTTTCCAGTTTTTAAGGTATTATGAATAAACCTGTTATGAACATTGTACAAGTCCTCATGGAAAAATGCTTTTTTTCCTCTTAGGTAAGTAGCTAAGAATGAAATTACTGGGTCACAGAGTAGGTATATGTTCAGTTTTTAAGAAAGACTTTTTTTCCAAAATGGTTCTATCATTTTTACCTCTACCAGCAATATCTGAGAGTTCCAGTTGCTCCATGTGCTCATCAACATTTGGCATTGTCATTGTTTTTACTTTTAACCCTTCTAATGGATTCTTAATAGTATGTCATTATAGTTTGAATTTGCATTTCCCAAGTGAGTAATGATGTTGAGCATTTTTTTCATGTGCTGATTGGCCATTCATACACATTCCTTAGGGAAGAGTCTCTTCAAATCCTTTACACAGTATTTTTGAGGATGAGTTATCTTTTATTACCAACTGGTAGAAGTTCTTTATCCTATGTAACAAGACTTTGTGTATATTGATAAGCAGAAGTTTTAAACTTCTGATGAAGTCTAATTTATCTAATTCTTTATTTTATTTTTATTGCTTTCTGTGTCCTAAGAAATCTTTGGCTACTCCCAAACCATGATGATGTTCTCTTATGTTTTCTTCTGGAAATTTTATAGCTTAATTTTTATATTTAGTGCTATTAATCAAGTCAGATTAACTTTTGCATATTGTATGAATTGAGGCCAAGTTAGCTTTTTCACATATGGCTATCTAGTTATTGCAGAACCATTTGTTGAAGACACTTCTCTCCCATTGGATTGCTTTGGTAGCTTTGTTGATAATCCATGACTACCTATCTATGTGGATTTATTTCTAGAATTTCAGTTTTGTTTCATTGATTTATTTGTCAATCCTTTTGTCAGTATCATCTTTCTTGATTCCTATAGCTTTTTAATAAGACTTAAAGTTTGGTAGTGTAAGTTCTCAAGCTTTATTTTTCAGGTTTAATATAGATTTTCGGTGTCCTTTGCATGAATGTAAATTTAGAATCAACTTGTTAGTTTCTATCAGAAAGAATGAGAGAGAGAGAAAGGGAGGGAGAGAGACAAAGGCAGGAAGGGGAGAGAGAAAGAAAAGCCTAGTGGGATTTTGAAAGGGATAGAAAGCAGGCAGACAGCTTTGGTGTTGGCAGGGGCAGGCTGTGAGTTGGTGTTGCGGGGTAGAGGGATTGAGCAGAAAAGGAGAGAGAACTCTGGACATGGACAACAATGTGGTGTTTGCAAAGAGGAGGCAAATAGATGTAGGGGGGAGAAAGCATAAAAGGGATAAATGGTGATAGAAAAAAATAAAATATAATATGAAAGAATTGAAAGGGATTAGATTGAATGCTTACCCAATTTGGGGATCTGAATGTCTTAACAATACCAAGTATGTATTATAATCCATGAACATGGCATATCTCCCCACTTATTTATATTTATAAAATCTCTCTTTTATAAATACTATTCATCCTGAACTCTATTTTGGTAAACATTTAGTCTCTTTCCAGTTTTTGGCCATTACAGCCTTATTGTGCTATTTATATGATACTAGAGGCCCGATGCACAAAATTCGTGCACGGGTAGAGTCCCTAGCCCTGGCTGGTGATCAGGGCCAATCAGGGCCTCCATTCCGCTCCACCCCCTGGTGGTCAGCGCACATCATAGCGAGCAATAGAACTGGTCTCCTAGTCGAACTCCCACAGGGACACTTTCCATATTAGCCTTTTATATATATAGACTAGTGGCCTGGTGCATGGATTTGTGCACATTGAAAGGAAATTAATTAGAAGGTGGCTGGCGGGGTGGGACTGGGTGAGATGGGCTGGACACACCCTGGAGCCAACCTCCTGTGGTCCCTACCTGGCCAGCACACCTGGGGCGTCGCTGCAGCTCAAAGAGTGTCTATGGTCACCGCAGCTTGGCATTAAACCAGATCTGGGGCTGACAGTGCCCAAGCAACAACATAACCCATGACTGAAGGTGGAATAGCACAGCCCTGTGAGGAATCGGGCTCCCTCCTCTCTGGTTCTGGGGTATGTCACCTGAGAACTACCGCTGCCAAGTCACCACAGCTCAGCAGCTCCTGTGTTGAGCGTCTGCCCCCAGGTGGTCAGTGCGCATCATACCTACTGGCTGGTCAGATGGTCGCTTAGCCTTTTATATACATAGATATGTTTTTCTATCCATTTCCTTTCATTATAGCTTTATATTTAATATTTAAAATACACCTCATGTAGACAATAAATAATTGGGTCTTGCTTTTTCTTTTTTTTCCTTTGTGTATCTTTTAATTTACAGTCTTTAATTCCGTGATATTTAATGTATTTATTGAAATGGTTGGATAGAGGTCAACTATTTTTCTCTTTTTTTTCTGCTTATTCTCCCTGTTTCTGTTTCTCTGTTTTCCTTTCCTGTCTTCTTTTGTGTTCATTGTGTCTTCTTTTAGAATTTTTTTAACTTATCTACTGGTGCCTTAGCGATGTCTCTTTGCATCATTTTTTCTAGTATACATTCTTAAATTTTCCGGGTACTTGGAATTGTTATTGTGCTACTTTACTCATGTATAATATAAGACTATTTGTATAGGTCCATTACTTTACTCTTGCTCTTTAAGCTATAATTGTCAAACAACTTACATCTACATATGTTATAAGCCAAATACTATTTTTTGCCTTAAATAATCAAATGTATTTCAGTAAAACTAAGAGAAAAAAGAGACCTTAACATTGACCATTTCCACTGTTTTTCATTTCTTTTTTATTATCAGAATTTTCTTCTGATATCATTTTTTGTTGTTGTTCTATTAGATTTTATTGAGCATTTCTAATAGTGCAGGTTGGCTGGTAATGGTTTCTCTTAGTTTTCATCTTTCTGGAAATATCTTTGCTTCTCCTTTATTCCTGGAAGATGATTTCACTGGATATAGAATTCTGGATTGGCAGTTTTATTTTGAGGCCTTTAATGCTATAATTCCACTATTTTCTGGCATTTATTATATTTAATTATATGCCTGTAGATTTTGTACTGTGCTTCTGTGTATGTAAGGTGTTATTTTTCTTTGGATGCTTTCAGGATTTTATCTATAAACTAGAGGCCCGGTGCACAAATATTTGTGCTCGCGGGGGGAAGGGGGTGTCCCTGAGCCCGGACTGTGCCCTCTCTCAGTCTGGTACCCCTCGGGGGATGACCACTTACTGGCTGAGGCCTGCTCCCCGGGGAATTGGGCCTAAGATGGCAATCAGACATCCCTCTGGCACCTGGCAGTCCTTGGGGGATGTCCACTTGCCAGCGGAGAGCAGACCTAAGCTGCAGTTGGAAATCCTTAGAGGCAGGAGAGGCTCCCACCACCACCACTGTACTGGCAGCCATCAGCCTGGCTTGTGGCTGAACAGAGGCCCCCATGTGGGAGCACACTGACCACCAGAGGGCAGCTCCTGCATTGAGCGTCTGCCCCCTGGTGGTCAGTGTGTGTCATAGTGACCAGTCATTCCCAGTCTTTCTGCTGTTAGGGTCAGTTTGCATATTACCCTTTTACTATATAGGATAGAGGCCTGGTGCATGGGTGGGGGCCGGCTGGTTTGCCCTGAATGGTGTCCTGGATCAGGGTGGGGGTCCCCACTGGGGTGCCTGGCCAGCCTGGATGAGGGGCTGATGGCTGTTTTCAGTCTGCCCGCACCCCCTTCAGGATGGGGATCCCCACTGGGGTGCCTGGCCAGCCTGGATGAGGGGCTGAGGGCTGTTTTCAGTCTGCCCGCACCCCCTTCAGGATGGGGGTCCCCACTGGGGTGCCTGGCCAGCCTGGATGAGGGGCTGAGGGCTGTTTTCAGGCTGGCCAAGCCTCCAACTGAAGCTCCCAGTCTCTGCTTTTTTTCTCTTTTTTTTTATTCTGGGATTTATTTACCTTCTGTAATTGAAACTTTGTTGCGGCTCCAGCTCCGAGGCTGGCTGGCTGAAAGCAGGTATCTGGGTTTTGTTTAGCTTCTATAATTGCCACACTGTTGCTTAGACTGGAGCTCAGAGCCTGGCTGTGGCGGGTGGGGAACCTTGGCTTCCTCCATCACTGGAGCAAGCAAGCATCCTGCTCGCTTCAGCTGCCTGGCTTCCGGCTGCCATCTTTGTTGGCAGTTAATTTGCATAGCGCCCTGATTAGC